GGACATTATTCCCTACACAAAATTCATTAAACAGGGCAAAGTAATTGTATATGTAATAAAAATGTAATTTTATCTTGAGAGGAGAAGGTAGAAGATTGAGGACTAGGATGAACCCTTCCTTCCTTCCTTCCTTCCTTCCTTCCTTCCTTCCTTCCTTCCTTCCTTCCTTCCTTCCTTCCTTCCTTCGTGGTTAGAGAGTGCTCAAGTCTGAATTAGTGGAGGATGTAGGAAGAGAGAGGACCCGAATAGACATTGATGCCATGGCTCCAGGCCAAACCTCCTTGCAGGTTTTTTTTTCTAAAAAAGGAAGATAAATGTGAAATGTTCTGGCCCTGAAATGATCACGTAATGTCTCCTTTGGCTGTGAGAGATATATTCTCCTCATCCGAACATTAAAACAAAATTACCAACTATGGATGCTGTTGGATTTAGGTGTTTAAAGGCAGCGTAAAACTATTACATTCATTCTCTTATTAGTTCCGGTGAGAGTTTGCAACCTGCGGTTAGATGCTGCAGGTGGGTAATTTTTCTGTGGAACCATGGCGGGGATGGAAGGGAAGTAGGTTAATATATATGTGTGCGTGTGCATGTGTGTGCGCATACACACACACAAAGAGAGGCCAGGATTCTGTTTTTTATTTTTATTTATTGTATCAGGAGCAAACCAAACAGTTGTATTGTATTTTTAAAAACACGCAAAGTTTGAAAACTTGGCATTCTATTAAATGTCCTTTGACCAGTAGCTGGCCACTTGGAGTGCCTCTGCTGTTGCTATTAGAAGGTCCTCCATTGTGCATGTAGAATCATAGAATTGGAAGAGACCACATGGGCCATCCAGTCCAACCCCCTGCCAAGAAGCAGGAAAATTGCATTCAAAGCACCCCCGACAGATGGCCATCCAGCCTCTGTTTAAAAGCCTCCAAAGAAGGAGCCTCCACTCCACCACACTCCGAGGCAGAGAATGGCTCTCACAGTCAGGAAGTTCTTCCTAATGTTCAGGTGGAATCTTTCCTGTAGTTTCAAGCCATTGTTCCATGTCCTAGTCTCCAGGGCAGCAGAAAACAAACTTGCTCCCTCCTTCCTATGACTTTCTCTCACATAGTTATACATGGCTATCATGTCTCCTCTTAGCCTTCTCTGTGGCAGGGCACAGATGGTCTGTGGTTTGCTCTTCTCCATACTCGCATGTCATGGATTCCACTTTGCAGCCCCATTTCTTAAGGTTGGCTCTGCATCTCGTGGTGCCAGAGCACAGTCTGTTCAGCACCTGCCAAGTCACCCAGTTTTGTGTGTGCCCAGGAGGGAGTCTCTTATTTCATATCAGCCATTGAATAAGGGTTTGAACCTGCCACTTTTGGACTCTCGCTTGCTGAGGTGTTCCAGCGAGTGTCTCTTTAGATCTTAGAAAACTATTTCTTGATTAAAGTCATTGGCGTGCTGGCTGATATCCAAATAGGGCATGGGCTGGAGATGTCATTGCCTTGGTCCTTTCACTATTGGTTGCTACTTCCCGGCGGATGTCAGGTGGTGCAATACTAGCTAAACAGTGTCAATTCTCCAGTGATGTAGGGCACAGACACCCCGTGATAATGTGGCATGTCTCATTAAGAGCCACATCCACTGTTTTAGCATGGTGAGATGTGTTCCACACTGGGCATGCATACTCAGCAGCAGAGTAGCAAAGCGCAAGGGCAGATGTCTTCACTGTATTTGGTTGTGATCCCCAGGATTCTGATTAAAATACAACTATGCGGTTCTTGTGAACTCTCAAGTCATTTTTGACTTGTCCTGACCCCAAATCAACCTGAAGATGGGTTTTTGTTTTCAAGATTTATTCAGAAGAGGTTTGCCATTGCTTAAGCGGCTGAGGGGGAAAGGAAGGGGCCTAAGACTGTTAGGAATTGGGGAGTGGAAGTCCAAAACACCTGGAGGGCCAAAGTTTGCCCATGCCTGGTCTAGCCCAAGGTCTCCCTGTGGGTTTCCACAGCTGAGCAGGGATCCAAATCCTGGTCTCCAAAGTTACAATCCAACGCTATACCTCCCTGAAAGGGAAACAGAGATATTGACAAGGATGAGCCCTGCCTCTGGGAAAAGATAGAGAGTTGGAAGCTGGTTTTAGATTTCAGACAGACAAGGTCAGAAGCCAATAGGGTGCAAAGCACCAGTTTTGGCTATTGTACTTTTCCTTGGTTCTCCCAAGGAATCATTGCACTTACTCTGAGCCCGAACCCAGTTTAAATTTAGCCAGCCAGGGTATTGCTTTTATGATGTTAATTGATATTAATGTTTTTTATTATCAGTTGTTATTGATTGTTTTCACTGTGTCTGTTTTATTTGTAATCCTTGAGTTTGTCCCTCTGTAAGCTGCCCCAAGTCCCTTCGGGGAGATGGAGGCGGGGTGGCCATGTTCCAGAAGCATTCTCTCCTGACGTTTTGCTGTCTTTGGCAGGCATCCTCAGAGGTTTTCCACCCTGGGGGTTGGGACCCCGGTGGGGGGGTTTGCAGGGGGGTTTCAGAGGGGTGACCAAAGACCATCAAAAACACATATTTGATAGTCTTAGGAACTCTTTGGCGATGAAGGCTGAAGATCTTTCCACCTGTTTTTCTCTTCCTTTTTGGAAACAGATGGCAAATCCTTCCACCAAAAGCCCTCCTCCCACTCTCCAAAACTGAAGGTCAATGCGCAACCTCTGAGAATGCCTGCCATAGATGCAGGCAAAATGTCAGGAGAGAATACTTCTGGAACATGACCATACAGCCCGGAAATCTCACAACTGTATTGTCCTTGTTTCAAAAAACTTTGGGAAAGTTTCTTCCTTAGACTCCAATCCCAGCAGGATTTTGGCAATTGCAGACCAAGAAAGTTGCTTTTCCTAGCTGTAATTTTCATTATAAAAGCAATCCCAAAGTGGAGCCCAGCACTAATCAACACAATAAATTCATACAATCAATCTTTAATAAAACAAGGGGGGAAAACACTAGGCGAGTCCATAACCTGTTGAAAAGCACAGCTGCAGAAATTAAGCCTAGATTGTGGGAGAATAAATAACTCTTCAATTGATGCGGAAAGCTGATCATTAGTATGTTAATATAATCACTCATATGTTACAAAAGATATTGCTTACTCAGGCAAATCTACATATTATATAATTCTTCAGTACATATTGACCAATTTTTCATCTTTATTGCCTTTTATGAATTTTAAGTTTTTAAAAAATTCACACTCATCTGTGTCAGTTCTGAGGCATGATGCCTGCATTAAATTTTCAGTAGCCAACATCAAAATTTCAGTAGCCAGAATTAATCTTTTATAGGCCAATTCTGTATAGGGTCGAATATTGTTGTCAATTTTTAAGGTGCTGCAGTATTTACATTTTGGGTGCATAAAGTATTCTGGCCCTGATCGTGACTGCTCTTGAAAACCTTACATCATCAGGGTGGTTGTGGGGTTTTCAGAAAAAGCAGTAATTCAAAGAGGCGACAAGAAGGAAGTATGATCACATTGAGAGTCTTCAGGGAAGTGGGTGAAAATGAGGGTCTCTAAAAGGGAGGTGTGGAGGGACATCTATGTTGGGGGTTACTCCATCATTAATACCTGAGCGTGGATTAATTTGTATCAAGGCTCAGTTTGGAAAAGTTACTTTTTGGATTATGTCCCTTATGCTAGTGGGTTAAAGTGCTGAGCTGCTGAACTTGCTGACCGAAAGGTCACAGGTTCGAATTCGGAGTGCGGCGTGAGCTCCCACTGTTAGCCCCAGCTTTTGCGAACCTAGCAGTTCGAAAACATGCAAATGTAAGTAGCTCTGGCGGGAAGGTAACAGCGCTCCATGAAGTCATGCTGGCCACATGACCTTGGAGGTGTCTACGGACAACGCTGGCTCTTCAGTTTAGAAATGGAGATGAGCACCAACCCACAGAGTCGGACATGACTAGACTTAATGTTAATGGAAAACCTTTACCTATCCAGTGTCATAGTCCAATGCACAAAGTATACCATGCTATTATCCCTCATTAAATAAATTTAAATGATATAATTTACACCAACTATAAGTAATTATTCTATTTCTTCATTTGCAAGACATACTTCTTTTCTCCATATAATCATTATAAACATGAGGTGCACCTTAGAATTGTGGGTGCATTTAGATATATAAATAAATCTTTTGTTCAGTTGATGGTACTGAAACTAGTCTGCAACTTACTATCAATGGCTTTGTATAATCAAAGAAATATGGTGCTTACTTCCAAGGTCTAGTTATTCAATAAGTTTTGCACGGGATTCAGAAGATGTCGTCCTCTCCTCCCTCAGGGGAACCTATTTTTCTTTTCAGTCCTCTACTCCCAACCATCACATGCCTTTCTACCGCTTCTTCCATCTTCGATTCAAAGTTTGAAAAAGAGCAGAGTAGTAGCGCAGTGCCTTCTAGTTGATAGCAAAATAATCATGCCTTTAAAATAATTATGCCTTCCTGTTAAGGACCAGGCTGTGTAGCAGCTAGTTAGTAGCCAGGTGCATTAAATCACTACTGACTGAGAGGTCATGGGTTCGAAGCCAGCCCGGTCGGTGTGAGCTCCTGACTATTAATAGTCTAGCTTGCTGTTGACCTATGCAGTCCGAAAGACAGTTGCATCTGTCAAGTAGGAAATTTAGGTACTGCTTTATGTGGGGAGGCTAATTTAACTAATTTACAACACCATAAAAACTTCCAACAGCATGCATAAGAATGAGGAAGTACTCCATCAAGGACTCGGTGTCACAAGTGGACAGTGAAGCGGCAGCTCCCCCTGTGGCTGGAATCAAGCATGCCTTCATGAAGCTGGAAAGCTAGAATGTCTGTCTATATATCTTGTATGTCTAATGGCATTGAATGTTTGCCATGTATATGTGCACTGTAATCCACCCTGAGTCCCGTGAGGAGTGAGAAGGGCGGAATATAAATACTGTAAATAAATAAATAAATAAATAATTTATCTGGACATTTTGATCTTTTTGCAGAACCATGACCATCCTCTGTGAAAGCTGCAACAAACCCATCAAGAGGACGGAGCACTGCATCTTGAGATGCCCTGCTGCTACTTCTGTATCCAGAAAGGAGCTCGGGATCCCAAAGCCCTTCAGGTGAGAAATTAATCCTGTGCTCCTTCCATAATCTAAGTTCTAATCACTTTCCAAGGGCTTTATCACATGAGACTGGTAAATAGCAATTACAACAGGACCATAGCATGTTTGGCTGATACTTCTCAGGCAACATTCTGTCTCCCCTGTTGCTGCTTTGCTTTCCAATCATTAGTGAAATGCCTGTCTTCACTGACAGGGAAAATTGTTAATGGCTTTCAATATCGCTGCTGTTTCAAAAATATCACTGATGCAATGACTCACTTCCACTGCAGTTGTGATATTCAGGCAGTCACATGGCATGAATGGCAGTGATTTTCGTCCTCTTCCCATTGCTATTCCTAAGCAGAGTGAGGTTGCTCTTACACAGTGCTTGTTTTCTTGTATATTTCTTTCCTCTTTTACATTTCTTTGGCTGTAATTGTGCAATCATGGCAAACATTAATTGTAAAAAGTGAAAGGAAAGCTTGTGCTGGGAGCGGTACATATATATGGTATATGATAGAGTTATTTATTTATTTAGAGTATTTATAAAAGAATAATAATAATAATAATAATAATAATAATAATAATAATAACAATGTTAATAATACACTATATTTATATTCTGCCCTTCTCCCCTAGGGGACTCAGAGCAGATTACAGCATTTACATACATAGGCAAACATTCAATGCCTTTACAATCATATGCAAAGAGACTCACAAACACAAACAAAGGCAGAGGCTTCTCCTTTCATTTCCGGCTTCTGGAGGCGGTGCTCATCTCTGGCTCTGGGGAGGTGCTTTCTCCATTTTCAAGCTGAGGAGCCTGAGTTGTCACCTCCTGGTTGTGTGGCCGGCAAGCTTGCTTGGAGCGTCTCTTTGCCTTTTTCTGCCGAAACGGTACCTACCTATTTATCTACTCACATTTGCATGTTTTCAAACTGCTAGGTGGGCAGGAGTGGGAGCTGACGGACAAGAGCTCACCCCATATTGCACATTCAAACTGCCAACCTTCAGGTCAGCGGTTCAGCAGCACAAGGGTTTAACCCATTGCACCATCACAGCTCCTATATCCCACTTTTCAGCCACAAAGGTTCTTAGAGCAGTGGGTTTCAGTGAGTTTTCCAGGCTGTATGGCCATGTTCCAGAAGCATCCTCTCCTGACATTTCACCCACCTCTGAGGATGCCTGCCATAGATGTGGCTGAAACGTCAGGAGATAATGCTTCTGGAACATGGCCGTACAACTCAGAAAACTCACAGCAATCCAATAATTCCAACCATGAAAGTTTTAATTGTGCGAAGGCTCTCCTGGCCACTGCCGCCACCTCTGTTTCAAGCGTCAGTGCTGAGTCCAGGAGAATCCCCAAACTGTCTAGAGCCTTCATTGTTTGAATCCACAGTGTTCTCTGGATGTAGGGGAACTACAACTCCATAACTCCAGATCAATGCCCATCAAACCTTTCTAGTGTTTTCTGTTGGCCATGGGAGTACTGTGTGCCAAGTTTGGTTCAATTCCATTGTTGGTGGAGTTCAGAATACTCTTTTTTTCCCTATTTTTATACATTTATTGGAAAAGTACAGGAATGGCTTCAGATGGCTCCTCTTGGGGTTTTGAAGTTCATCCCTACAGTGGGCTGTGTAACCTGCAGGTTGGACAAGCTGCCAAAATCCAGCAGCTTCAACATCTCCTTTGTATCAGGGTCCACTTCAATGATCTCCTGATCTAAGGCAGAGACCTCAGGGACATAGTTGTCCCTTCTTTCTCTTTCCTCTTCCTGCAGTTTGATGGAGATGCCTCTGACCGGACCTCATTTAATGCGTTTCATTAGATGGGTTACATACCCTGCAATCTTGTTGTGCAGTTTTTTGCTAGGGATGATGGCAATAACTATAAATCCCAGCAACCACAACCACAACTCCCAAATGACAAAACAATATTTTTTGAATGATGGTCCCTCCTTGGGTGAGTAGGTGTCTTGTGGCCAAATTTGATAGCAATTTGTCCAGCGGATTTTGACTTATGATGTCACTGAAAATGAACAGAGCATTTTTATAGTTGAACACGGTCAGACTCAGGGCAGGAAAAAAAAACATTATAAATGTTCAACTATTTCAGCCCAAAACTCATTAGTGCTTAACAACCTGTTATGCTGCTATCCAGCCGGAGAACTTGAATTTAAAACAATACAGCACCAATCCCCATGGACAAAGTACAATGTCTTTCACGGTTAAGTATGCATAACATTATGGTGTAAGAGTCTCTCGCCTCCAAACTAACATCTGAGTATCTTTGCTGTGACCAGATTTTAATGGCCAGCCAGTAAATAATATTAATCCACCGAAGTCTTTTAGGACTGGCACAGCTGCAAAAACATCTGGAAAGCAATTGTGTCCTCTATTGGGAAAAGAAGACTTATTAAACTTTGGATGCCAAAAGGAGAGCAGAGTGCAAACTGAAGTGGCCCAGCCAAGTCAGGCTTTTCACCTGTGGCAATGCATCATCTGGCCAATGTGTGCTTGGAGCTCCTGACAAATGAATGATTGTGATGGTAAAGATTTCCATGGCCAGACTCCAGATTGAGAATGCATTTACACTGTAGAATTAGTGCAGGTTGACACCATTTTAATTGCCATGACCCAATGCAATGGAATTACAGGTGTTTAGTCTTACAAACCCCCCCCCCCAAAAAGCTGGGTTGCAGTTAAACATCAAAAAAACCAAGATTATAGCAACAAGAATGATTGACAACTGGGAAATAGAGGGAGAAAACATGGAGGCAGCGACAGACTTTGTATTTCTAGGTGCAAAGATTACAGCAGACGCAGACTGCAGCCAGGAAATCAGGAGACGCTTACTTCTTGGGAGGAGAGCAATGACCAATCTCAATAAAATAGTGCAATAGTGCAATGACCAATCTCGATAAAATAGTGAAGAGTAGAGATATCATACTGGCAGCAAAGATCCGCATAGTCAAAGCAATGGTATTCCCCATAGTCACCTATGGATGTGAAAGCTGGAAGTGAAAGCTGGAAATAGCTATTGAGCGAAGGAAGATAGATGCTTTTGAACTGTGGTGTTGGAGAAAAGTTCTGAGAGTGCCTTGGACTGCAAGAAGATCCAACCAGTCCATCCTCCAGGAAATAAAGCCCGACTGCTCATTGGAGGGAAGGATATTAGAGACAAAGTTGAAGTAATTTGGTCACATCACGAGGAGACAGGAAAGCTTAGAGAAGACAATGATGCTGAGGTAAATGGAAGGAAAAAGGAAGAGGGGCCGACCAAGGGCAAGATGAATGGATGGCATCCTTCAAGTGACCGGATTGACCTTGAAGGAGCTGGGGGTGGTGATGGCCAACAGGGAGCTCTGGCATGGGCTGGTCCATGAAGTCATGAAGAGTCGGAAACGACTGAACGAATGAACAACAACAAGTCTTACAAGGCCTTTAGCATTCTCTACCAAAGAGTTCTGGTGCCTTACTAAACTATAACTCCAATGATTCCATAGCATTCAGCCTTGGCCATTAAAGTGGAACCATAGAGGTAGAATTGTGTAGTTTGAGAGGGCTGACCAGGTGTGCAACAACCTGAGAAGACTGTTGTGTTTGCTAAACAAGTCCTTAGCTGGGAGATTTGGGAAGCTGTAATCTGTGGAGGTTGAGATAGGACGGGGTACAAAAGCCTGGAATAAATAAATAAATAAATAAATCTCCATGAACTAAATAGACATATTCCTCCTGAGTTCAGAGGGATTGGCTTCCAAATCAAAGCATTTTAGGTGTGTTGTAAAGGGTGGGGAGGATATATATGGATGGACAGCCCTCTAGTGACCGCCATGAAGAAAACCCTGAGGGGCACTTTGCTTTAATCATCTCCACCACCTTGAGTTATTATTTGTAGACACTGTTCATCACATACATATAATTCATTTTAATTCCTGAGCTTGTAGACAGGGGCTTCGACATCTTTTTATATAGCCAATGCCTAATGTATCTGATGTACACTAGGCATTGGATATACCAAAGGAAGCCCAAGTTCCTGTCTACAGACTCAAACATTAAAATAAATTCTGTCCACAGGATGATCCCAGAGCTTGAAAATAAAAATGTTTGGACTGCAACACTCAGAATCCTCACAGCATAATGGTTGGAAATAGCAACCTTCTACAAGCCTCCTATGCTAGTTATTTGTGATGTATATAATTCAGATTGCTTGTTGTTGTTCATTCATTCAGTTGTTTCCGACTCTTCGTGACCTCATGGACCAGCCCACACCAGAGCTCCCTGTTGGCCGTCACCACTCCCAGGTCCTTCAAGGTCAGTCCAGTCACTTCAAGGATCCCATCCATCCATCTTGCCCTTGGTTGGCCCCTCTTCCTTTTTCCTTCCATTTTCCCAGCATCATTGTCTTCTCTAAGCTTTATTTTCTTCTCATGATGTGGCCAAAGCACTTCATCTTGGCCTCTACAATCCTTCCCTCCAATGAGCAGTTGGGCTTTATTTCCTGAAGTATGGACTGGTTGGATCTTCTGGCAGTCCAAGGCCCTCTCAGAACTTTCCTCCAACATCACATCTATTTTCCTTCACTCAACCTTCCCTAAGGTCAGATTGCTTACAATATCATATATGTATGTATTGGTATGTAGTTTTCCTTAACTCTATGTTGTGGGAGGGACTGCAGACCATGTGACCAGATCTGGAACTATTCAGATCTCAGACTCTTAGACTCTCAGACTGTAGAGGCGCCATCAGACTTTCAGACTCTCAGAACAGAGAGATGCTTTAGACTTTGGTCTGCTAAGATTATAAGAAAGATGCCCTGTGTTCAGTGTAGTGTCGAAGGTTTTCATGGCCGGAATCACTGGCTTTTTTGGGTTGTATGGTCATGCTCCAGAAGCATTCTCTCCTTTTCGCCCACATCTATGGCAGGAATCCTCGGAGGTTGTGAGGTCTGTTGGAAACTAGGAAAATTGGCTTTTTATATCTCTGGAATGTCCATGGTGGGAGAAAGAACTCTTGTCT